TTTCGCGCTGTTTTATAAGCATTCTGGCCTGAAAGGGGGTGACTCAAATTAGTTGTCGAAAATGGATTTTCCTCTTTGGTTTGCCAGACTTGATGTTGGATAACTTTTTAAATTTCATTAGTTTGGGAAACTGAGGTGAAGAATTTGGAAGAGTAGACCTAGTGCTTTCAAGTTTATATAAACATTTGCAAAACACCGTGCAAAATACTGTGAAAAAATCGAAAGAAAAAATGGGACAGAACTTATTACACAACCTAATAGAAAGCCAAAAAACATCAAGTTTTTACTCTTTTAGAATGAAACAGCTTTGTGAACTGCAAGGTTTCCTCAGGTCCGAGCACTTTTGTAGCACACAACCGTCAAATCCCTCCTTCCCTCCCTCCCCCCCCCCCCCTCCCCCAACCGGGCATTATCGTTTGCCTACCGTAGGCATGGCATAGAGGCTCTACCAAGCATATTTGGCAGCATATTCGTATTTGAGTCAAGTAACCCGCGCTTCAGCGAATTCTGAGAATTCCCAACATTGAACCACCCCCAAGTAAAGCGGTCATTTTCAAACATGACTGCCCTAAAATCTCATGGATAAGTCCTCCCATCAGATAAGTCTGCCTACAGATAAGCCCGCCTTCAGGTAAGTCCGTTTTCTTACCATTATAACTACGTTGAAATCTTGTCAGATAGGTCCGAAGACCGTCAAGGAAATCCGAACTTATCTGTAGGCGGATTTATCTGATGGGGAATATCTATAAGATACGTAGGAGTGCGAAGGTGCGTTTTCATCTATTTTTCATGTCAAAAAAGCGGACTTATCTGTATGATTTTAAGGTAGCTATAATTCGAAAGTGAATTAGCTACCTTTTTTGTGCCTATTATAAAGCACTATTCCTCATTTGCCCATATCACGAAACTTGCTCTAAATAAACATCAAACTATAGAATTAGGAGCCAGCCAAAATGTTATTTGTCGCATTTTTCCCTTACACTGATTGTGCTTGCAAAAACTGTTGCTCAAATGAAAGAAGACGAGAGATCTAATTACTGAAAAACTATGAAATTTTAACTATCGAACTGTACATATTTTGTTCAATAAATTATGTTTGGAGGGGTTTATTGGGGTGTGGCACAACCCCAGAAAAGCTGTGGGTGCAACCGTTTTTAGCTGTTGTGCTAAACCCCATTAACTTACCCTCAGAGCATTCAAGTATCTACCATTGTTGCCATTGCTAAACCTTCTTTTCTACAGACTAAAATTTCATTGATTATTGTTCCTCCTGGGAAAATTTATAGTCGTTTTTCCTTACCTATGCAAATACTGTGAAAATATTGGGTTGCGGTAACAACATGCTAGTATGCCCCACCACGTAAATCGCGAGGAAAGGCGAAAGTGAATATATTCGATAGCCTAAGCCTCGTAGGTTTCACAAAAATGATTTAGGCCTGATTGGTCTTTTCTAGTTTGACTATTGCAAACAAAAAATGGGATAAAAGAGACTGCTCTTACGATTAGTTATTTCCGTTTTGAAGAGATTCCCAATGTGAGCAAGTACTAGTAGTACTTTGTATTAAGTGCAAAAAGAAGTAGTCAACTCACCTTTGAAAGAAAGTTAACATGCGCAAAACTACCATCTCATTGGACTCAAAATCCGACCTCAAAATTGCTGACACTTGGCCCACAGGGGTTATTTGACATGCTAATTCGAAAAGGTGCTTTTATGTTTTTAGGGCCCTTTTATCGTGCATATTGTACGTATACGATGACAGGTCAAAATATCAGTGTACTAGTATTTTGCATAATGAGCCTATCTGACAATATTATCATCTCGTTACCCCTCCCCCCTTCACCCTCCCTCTCTCCCTCGATGCGACCACCCAGATGTGGGTGCCACACCTCAAAGACAGTGTCCAGGCAAATCTAGGTTTTTGCTTGGAAACTGATGAAGGGGCTTTATTTGAAACACTGCCCAAACGGCAATGAAGATGATTAATTCACGGCTGAGAAGTCCGTTCCCAAACCCTTTGCGCCTGCGCCGTGACCGTAGCCCGGAAATGACTTCACTCGCTATACATTACATTCGCTATGGGACTCATCCTAACTTACTCGCGAGCTACAGTCACGGCGCAAGCGCGAGTATTTGAGGAGAGATTTCTCAGCCGCGAAAGAACTATCTGCGCTGCCATTTGGACAGCGGCTTAGCTAGGACCCTCTCGTCAGTTACCAGGCAAAAAACCCATGCGCCGATTTGCCTAAACACTGCCTTTAAGCTTGGCCCTGGTGATGATAGCGTCTCTGTGTTAACAAACGCTATCATCACCAGGGCTAAGCTCTTAGTTTAAGACTATACGGTCGATACCAGACATTCGATTTCAAAACCAAAACTGCTGCAATCACACAATGACTTTGAGTGCAAGCGACAAGCATCAAATTTAGCGTTCGAGTTCTAATCGAGCACATATCAATTTCAACATGAGGATTTATGATCGCAACTCAGAAGAATTTGACGTCTGTTAGATTATTCCAGTAAGTCATCGTCCCTGGAAATGTGCTTTTTCAGTGATTTTCTGAAGGATACAGACCATGTATGAAATCCTTTATTAGCCTTAAGTTCCATTTGAAATTCATCATTCCATCGTTTGTTCGAGAATTTAATCATGGATTGATACTTTGAAGCGGTGTGCACATACATCTTTGCCGAAAGAGGAGCTGCGAGGGAACGCTTACATGTTGCTGTTCTAAAATTCTGTGCCCTCGCTCTTTACTCATCTTTCGAAGCTGTGCTGCACTATTAACGCAGCATAATGAATGGCAGCGCACTGTCATACAAGATGGCTAAGGTTTTCAGTGTTCGATTGGGTCCTCTAGGAAATCAGGTGAACACTGTCCTTTTTCAAAGCCATGCATCCTTTCGCAATCACAATAACGAACTCATAAATTTGTGCTGAGGATTTAATATGACTTGCTATTCTTTGTGACAGAAATAGTGGATATCTTTAAAAAAACGTCTGCTAGCGAGTTTGCGTGTATTAAGTCACATTCTCTTCTGCCACCAATCCCCTAGAAAGTAGAGCCTTTAGCATTGAAAAAAAAATACAAAGAATAGATTTTCAGAACGGAGATTCAAAGTATGCATGAACCCCACCTGCGGAAAGGGAAGCAACGTCCTAATGAGAAAAAAACCGCAGCGACGTTTGCCCATGGCCCTTTCATAACAGGAGATCCCGTTTTCCTCATTGCAGGGAAGTTTATATAGACAAGCCCAAGCCCTTCACAGCTCCTTTCCTCTCTCTCCAACGGTGATGACCTTCTGTCTCATTTGAAATCAACACGATTTGAGCGGCTTTGATTTCGATCTGAACCCTCGCCTAAACCGTGTCCACTTCGCAAACGTATCGCCTGAGCATTTTCCCTCCCCGAGCATTGGAAAGAGCTCAATGTTAAGCTTCATTCATTAAAAGGCATGGGAAAATGAAACGTTCACGATACAAGCCCAAGCGAGGCGAACGCGTGGGATAGAGTCCCTCCTTGAGTCGAGCTCACTTCATGGACACATTCACGACAAGGCCGATTTTTCGCTGACTGCCATTTCGGACCAGAACATATCTCGCAAGATTGAGTTTGCGGAATATTTTCAGGTCACTGATGGGCCCTGTGGTCTGAAGTGTTAATCTTTTGAGAAGTACTCCAAGAGGTGTATGCAGAAGTTTACTCGGTTTACCTAAAAAGTTTAAACTAGCAAAAACAAAAAATTCAGAAAGCATACGACCCACCGGTGGGTCGTAATGTCCGAAATGGCAGAATACGTGCGACCCACCGGTGGGTCGTGTCGTGAATGTGTTAAGGCAGAGGCTACGTGGATGCAGGCCTAAGAGAAGGCAAAGAAGATCAATTGTTTCTCAATTGCAGGGACCTGACGAATGGGTACAAGCCAAAGGATAAACTCGATAATCCCAAAGAAGATACCAAGGGGTGAAAGGTCTTAATCACTGAAAAATAAATCGTTGAGCAGCAAGTTGATTTGTTATTGTCTATTCTTACAGAAGTCGAAGTCACTCGTAATTGTCATCGACAAAGCACACTGCTAATATGATTATCTTATTACTAATAGGAAACAATTTTTCCTCAGCAGCATGTAAATTGTCTGTGCCGGGCTATCGCCAATCGTGCGGCAAATATCGCCCTCCTACATTAACCTACATTGTCGTCTTTTTGTAACCGATGCATGAAATTAAGGCTGATTGCGGCAAGAATGTCGTGAATTAGAAGATTCGTTCAGGTCCATGACAAATATTGCGAGTTTTGAACAGGTCACGTTTTGTCGCTTATGGGCGATCTGCTTCATAAGGCTCCCGCCAGAGTGCCGAAGCCATGCCAGCGCTACGCCAGCGCCGAGCCAGCGTTTCGATCGATACATGTGTATTTCGTCCGGGATCTACCTGCTGAGAACTAGGTCAGCTAGCCCCGCCCCAAAGAAATACACGTGTATCGATCGAAACGCTGGCTCGGCGCTGGCGTAGCGCTGGCATGGCTTCGGCACTCTGGCGGGAGCCTCAGACAGCGCAGCCTCAACTCACGCATACTTCAACATCTACCAAGCATTGAATAACGGCAAGACGCATTGAGATGACCAATTGACAATATCTCCCACGACTGCCACGTTGCTGTGACGAAGCTCCAGTGGTTTTTCGATTTACTGGCACCTAGGTGTAACATACCTTGGTCGGTTGTTGTGCTCATCTCTCATGTATGAGCGTTGGGTGTTGATATAAGGATTAAACGGTGAGCATTGAAGTGCTTGTGTGTATGGATTGTTGCGATTAGCTACGGCTCAACTGTGGTGCCGAAGAAAATTCGTTTGCATTTGGTCATCATTGTCTAGTCTGGAATGTTCATCTATCCAAAAAGAGCAGAATGCGAGCTAAGGTCCTGATTATAAGTGACAAGTCCCAGGTATCAAGAGACAACAAGAGCCTAACGACACGGACTATAAGACGCTGCTAGGCAGGTTAGTCTAGTGTTTCCAAAGCTGCATTCATACTTATCCGCAACTTTAGGAACTGTTCTAGCACAGCGCTTAGCTCGAGCGCTGTGCTGGAAATGTTGCCAAAATTCCGAACATGAACGAAACCTAATGTGCTACCATATATGGCAGGTGCAATCAACATACCATGCAAGCTTCGCCACCATCTTAAGTGACGTTGAAATTTTTCACGGGAGAGCCCCGGCTTTCTTGCTCCGTTGCAGCTGAGCAGTATCCACTGTGGGCAGCTGGGGCCGTATCCGCGACATATGCACCAAGATAGCTAGGCATAGAGATATCAAAAATACGACTATCTTTATGATGCGCTGTTTGTACAAGCCCACGTGCACATACCTTACATACCAGAGTAAGGTCCCGGCACGTGTCGGTCTCAGACATTTTGACAACGAGAACTTCCATTACAGCGCATAAACAATTCGAAGTTTTCTTGCAGCATCAAATTGTATGCGGAAAAAAAAGATAAAAAAGCTAGTTTCACTCTTGGCATCTCCAAACGCTCAGTCAATTTGTGAATTAGAGCGCGATATTCATCAAAGCCAACTATCTTACAAGGGAAGGATACTGGGTCGAAGTGGCGTTTCTATAGAAAGTGTACCGTTTTATAGAGCATGGAACGCTGATTCCGAATCTGCTTCCACTATTATCTGCAGAGCACTCCTGGAAGGGTAGTTACGGATATTTTTTTACCGCAAAAATTTTAAGGCTCATACAATAAAATCGTTCACAAGTATAGCTGTGAACTAGGATGGAGTCATGATTATTGCCAAGGCGCTTCGTGCAGTTTAGTTGCATTGATATTGATATTAATACTTATATAATATTTGACTAAGCCACTTTTCTTCGCCCAAAAAAATAGATGGATCAATGAAATCTGAGCCAATTTAGCATACGTAATGCATGGATGGGGCATGTATTGATAAGCCATTTTATTCGGGACACACAGGTTGCTCCTATTGATCTATTGGTTTTTTTGCAGTTTGCGTGATATCCGTTGCTTAAAATGGTGATTTAATTGACAAAGCCGAGATTATGTCCTCAGTTTTTCCTTCTGCGCAGGTTGCGCAAGTGAAAGCAATTCATGTAGAACGGCAAATTTTGACATCTCCGCATTATAGAGTGAGACGAAACGAGAGTTCAGGTCTTTCAGGCGCTTCAATGGAGTCACGACTAGCTTGAATTTATTAAGACCAGCCGAATCTGCCGCGTAGCGGCAGAGAGCGGCTGGTCTTAATAAATTCAAGCTAGTCGTGACTCCATTCAAGCGCCTGAAAGAGCTGAACTCTCGTTTTTACCCTAGCCGAAAAGTTGATTTTTGCTTCAAAAAACTCCCACAACTCCCATTCTAGAAACGCTTTGCAGGTATCGGAAGCAGATTTGGAATCAGCGTTCTATGCCCCATAAGACAGTACACATCTCAAGTGGAAAACTGCACCTTGATCAAGTATCCTTTCCATGTTAGATCTATCAATTTACTTACTCAGATATTAAGATGGCCCGGCTTTACGTGACGTGAAGGCCCCAGCAAGCACTGAAGTTTTTATTTTTCTCTGTCCCTCGCTTCAAACATCCATAATTTTTTTGTTTGCCACCGGTGGCTGCATACACGAGTTCCAGGGGCGAAAGTCGTATCCAGCTGATTTCTCAGCTGGTCAATCCGTTTCACGAACACGTTTGTTCATCTTGCTGGAGCTCTTCCTCGGGGACTTTTGCTCTGTGAAAAATCTACTCCGATGTTCCTAATGTCCTCTGTCGTCTGTCCATCTCATGATGTGACCGGTACATCGGTTTCGCTTTCGCAACGTATTCCTCTGCGTCACGAAGACGGGACATTCTTTTCTTAACGCACTGTGAAGCCCAATTAGATTGTCATGACTTTGGCGAGTCATGATTACTCCTAACATACGTTCTCTGGTCTTATGCTCCCTTCTCACAACATCCCATTGTTGTCGCAGTACCTCTTATGTTATGACATAGCAGAAGCATACCTTAGGCCTAAGGCATACCTCACGCGATTCGGTCGAATCGCCACTTTCACGCGACTTGGCGATTTGCCAGATTTTTACAAATTTATCGTGCGCGCTTCTCGGACACATGTTTGGGTAGCTTGTGTAAGCTGTTGCAAACGGAGCAAGTTCTGACCAAAGGCAGCGCATTAACGACGAATTACGAAGAGTCGTTGTTGTGCCGAATCGCGCAGCGACCGTCGCGCAAGGTATGCCTTAGGCCTTAAGGAAAGAGCCAAAGAGCTCAAGGTCGGCTTTCATGATTCTCCACCACCATCCCTTCTAAACGTAACCCTTCTACCCTTCTCCAAGGGGCAAACCCAGGTGACAGAAAGGAAGGGGGAAGTGTAGGCAATGTTTGTATATAGTCGTATAATCTGTATTTATTGTAAATAAGGATATAAAATAAGAGGAGATGTAAGTACCCTAAAATCCGGCATATAAGTCCGCCTTTCAGATAAGACCGCCTCTCAGATAAGACCGCAGAATAACTATCAGTTAAGCCCGCTTTCGTGACAACCTCGCGCGCCGTCAAGTCCCGCGGATAAGTCCGCCCTATTTTTTCACATGAAAACAAGAAGGATGCGCAATTGCGCTGCCTTTTTTGGTCTCAGAATGAACCGAAGCAACAGATCTTTATTCAGGTAGCATTCCATGTTCATCACAACAAACATTCATGGCAACAACTTGACCAGAAGAACGAACATCATTATCGTTATTATCAGCAACAATCAAAGCGTCGAAATCCTCGTTCATGGCTTCTATTATTGATTCGTCATCGAGAGCCTTGGTAAAACTGTTCGCAATGGTTTCTTCAGTGATTGCATTGAAACTCTCGTAGACTAGTGCAGCTACCTCTCCGTAGGTCATCCTTTTCCTGGCGCCGCTTGTTGCGTACCTTGCTCGTGCTGAATCGGCCATCCATCGCTCCCATCCCGCCCTCAGATTGTCTTTGAAGGGCTTGTTGATGCCGACGTCGAGAGGCTGTAGATATTTGGTCATTCCGCCTGGAATGACCGCGATCTTTGAGTGCTCCTTGAAAAGCTCTCGGACGTTTTCTGTGAGATGGCACCTTAAAAAAGCAAGATAAGCTTAAGAAATGATAAAATGCGAAACGATACCTTGCAGAATCTAATATGAGTAATGACTGCGAGGGATCGTTGACATAGCATTTCCGTTTGTTCCACACCTCATGGAGCCATGTCCTCATCAGTTCGTGATTCATCCAGCCTTTATCATTGGCTCTAACTATCACTTCAGGAGGAAAATTATCCTTGGGAATCCTCTTTTTCTTGAATATGATCATCGGTCTTAATTTCTCTGCAGCGGCCGTCACAGAGAGGACAACGGTAAAATTCGATTTTTCGTGTCTTTTTGAGTCAATCCTTACAGTGTCTCCCACTTGATCCACGGTCCTTGAATAAACCATATCGAAGGGCACTGGGACTTCATCGACATTCCCAAAATTGTGGGGGGAGATGTGAAGCGATTACCTTTGTACGAATCTTCTGAAGTCCGCGCACATGTTTTCATGATCCTCCGGAAATGCTTGGCCGACACTGGTTCTTCGCCTCAGAGATAAGTCCTTTCTCTTCATAAAGCCTTTGCATCACATCGCCGATGCCCTGAGGTCCTGGTGGCCAGATTCCCGTGCTAGCTGCAATGCCTTCTCGCGAATGTCTTTGACAAGCACTGCTCGGCTTCCTTCTCGCGTCTGCACAATCCATGCATAGAGAGCTTCCTCTATTTCCTCCACCTTTGGCTTCCCATAACGGTTGGCGCGTCTCCTCAGTGGCATATCCTCCAGATTTTCTTTATCGGCCTTCCATCTTCGAATCAGACGATCAGAGACTTCGTAGTGAACAGCGGCAGCCGATGTTCCATGTTCCAAGGCATATTGCACCGCGTTAAGCTTAAAAAGCGCGGTGTAGGACTTCCTTCTGGTAGCCATTGAGATGCGAGACACCTGAAAAGCTTAAAGGCAGTGTCTCTTGAGGTCGCGGCAGTAAAGGCAGTGTCTCTTGAGGTCACTATCTTTTGTCTTGGATGTACAGGCTTAATGAAACAACAGATGAGAAAAAGAACAAGGAAGCCTAATGCTTTGCTAAGGTTGCATTCTCAGGCTGTCACTCTTCCGTTCAAGAAAGCATTTGACAAAAGCCGTATAGCGTGGGTCAACAGAGGCTAGGTTCAGAACATGTAAACAATAAAGGAAGCAAAAGGTATAGGCAGCCAGGTTCAAAGTTGTAGCCTGTACAGTTTCGAGAGATGTATTGAAAACATTGTCGCTTTTAAAACGATAAGATGAATGATAAGATGAGATGATTGCAATGATACAATGAGAAAACCCATTATGATTTTACCGGCAGAAATATTCCATGTGTACAAGCACTGTCTTATATTGGAAAAGAACCCACCAGCGTATGTGATGACCAATCCGCGACGAAAATGTCAGCAAGTAGACTGCACGACATGTCGAATCGTTTGGCGGTCTCTTTTAGGGGAGTTCACGGCTTGATTCCAATCGCTGAAACATGTGATATCCAGAACAACTTCTCTGTAGCCTTTTGCAAAACTACGAACCGTTTGTGTCCTTGTACTTCGTCAATTACCCTTGGAACTGAGTATACGCGACGATCAACGTTCTAAAAACGCTTTGTAGGAGATGCATGTACTGTAGTTAGCCTACATCAAAAATCTCCCCTGCCTAGTATTTGCTGGCAGAGGGGTGAAATCCGACCTTACCATCGTGTCATCAACTTCAATACAAAAGAAATGCCGTATTAAAGAGAAGAACTCACCTATCCAGCGTATGCGGTGATGAATTCGCGGCGATACTGCCAGCAAGTAGACTGTACGACTTGTCGAATCCTTGGGCTCTTTCTTTCAGGCGATATCGCGGCCTTGTTTAAATCTACACTGGCAAGCCATGCGGGCGGTCGCGCGCGTCTGTGCTCCTAGGTCGCGCTTGCTCATGCTCAGGACAGGCGGGCTTATCTGTGAGTGGATTTAGGCGGACTTATCTGGGAGACCTTTTGGCGGCGCTGAGGGCGTTTTTCCATCGATTTTCCTGCCAAAACTGCAGATAAGTCCGGACTTATATGCCGGATTTTAGGGTAATACGAACCATCAAAGAAAACCATCGCTCAATGATGCAGTGCGAACAAAGATGTCGCTTGCTTATCATTCGAAGGCTGCGCGAGCACTCTGTGGTGGTCCGTAGAGCTTTCGACGTGGCTACAGTGTCAGCTCAGTAGCAGCTGCGTAACAGAGTGCTTAATTCCAACAAGTGGGCCCGAAGCTCCGGCACGTCAGTTGGTTGATGGCTTTCCTTTAGAGGCCCGTAGGCAACCAGGCTACTCTTCCTCTTCTGTCAATCTTGATTCAAGTCGTTCTCTATGTTTTAAGGACCAAACACGTAAGAAGACGCCTCAGGATAGGAGCGCCATCTAGTTCCGTTTTCGCATCTTCGCAAAGGACGTTTTTCATGAACTGAGTCTTCATCCAATTTCGCAATTTGATCTTCTTCCTTATTTCTTTTAGTTCCTTCAGCATCGTCTCTGCTTCAGTGATACTGCTCGAGAAAAGAACGATGTCATCTGCAAAACGAAGGTTGGACAGGAATCTCTCATCAACTCGTATGCCTCTCTCTTCCCAGTCCAGTGACTTTATCACACAATGCAAGGCCGCGGTGAACAGCTTCGGCGAAATATTGTCGCCTTGTGGAACCCCCTTCCCAATTGGAATGGTCAGGGGGCGATGGAATAGCTGCATCGTTGTTGTACAGTCCTTGTAGTAGTAGTGATGTCCTCATGTAAGCTGAGTCCACTCCTTGATCGACTAGCGCTGATCGATGACGTTGGTTTGACGCTGTCAAAGGCTTTGTCGTAGTCGACGAAAGTAAGGATGAGAGGCAATCGGTCTCGGCAAATTTTTATGACCCTCGAAACCGTCTGGATGTGGTCCACGCAGCTGAATCCTTTGCGAAATTACTTGTTTCGGAGTTGGACTTCATCCAGTGTCTTAGATATGCGGGCGAAGATAAACTTCGTGGAAAGCTTGTATAACACACTTGGCAGGCATTTTGGACGGTAATTCCGAAGATTCTTCCGTTCGCCCTTTTTGAAGAGAAGGACGATTCGTGATTTCTTCTGAACGTAAGGTGTCAGGTGCGGCGCGAGAATCTCGTGTAGACGTTGCCTTTCGGCTCGCAGAACTTCGACGGAAAGAGGTCTGGTCCTGGAGCCGCTGACGTTGCTCTAAGTCGGCGTGCGCACTTCAGCAGGTAGAAGTCGTGGTGGTAGTTATCCAGTGGGAACAACGCGCATAGACACGGGTGTTGATGAGGAGAATTTGGCGTAGAAGTTCTTTGGATTCCATCTTGTATCTGGAAAAATTCGGAGTCTTGTCTTCGTTCAATAGTGCGGCCAGCGGTACGTGTATTCGCAGAGTTCTCTTCGGCATTTCATGAAAACTTGTCCTCCTTCGATGCCTCATTATCTTGGCTTGCCTGTACTTTCTGAAGCTGTTCCGCAACTAGTGTTGGCTATCAATCTTTCGAGATGGGCTGCATTCGGATCCTGCCTCAGATGTTTTCTTCCTTCGACCAGTACCTTAGTGGTCGAAGTACGTTTCAAGTTCTGCAAAGTCACTGAAGCGCACTATCCACAGGATCGCAATCCTTTTAGAAGCCGGGTTAGTCAAACGTTGGTTCCTCTTCGATGGGCCAGTCACAAGTTATTATGAACTCTTCCAACCTGTTGCCGTCATAGGCAACACTCTTCCTTCTTGCGGTACTGTGGCAGACCTTCTTTTCCAGCTTTCGACTGAATCATATCTTCGCTCAAAGGAGGCAATGATCGGAGCCACGGAGAAGGATGGAACTACTGAGACGTCAAGCATCCACCTTCGTTTGGTGAGAATGTGATCGATTTCCGCATGAGTTCCGCGCGATCGATACCCATGTCCACCGCCGTGTTCTTTCTTCATGAAGATGGAATTTCCATAACAAACTAGTGCGGTCGAGGAGCCAAACGAGACGACGAGACGGTTGCCGTGTTTATTCCGGAGTCCATATGCGAACTTACCGATCCTACATTCCTTTTCTAGTGGCCTCCCGATTTTCGCGTTAAGGTTGCCGGCAACGAACTTTAGAAGGACTTCTCGTTGCGAACAACCTGCTCCACGTCTCCGTAGGCATCTAGTTCTGAATCGTCAGCTGCTGATGTTGGTGAGCTGATGATGCTGATGGTTTTCTGACGTGGAGGTCTTAGTCGTAGGCCTAGTAGAGTTGATAAAATTTCGCGAATCGACAAGATGGACGATAATGGGTGGACAACATAGCGAATGCTTCCAACGTTTTGTGGTGGAACCTTTTTCTTACGAATGATGAGGGTCCCATCACTCATCTGTTGCAGTCCTTCTTCTGGACTTCGTTTCTTGCAGAGGATGGCGTGGTACTTGATGTGCTCTGCGGCGTCGAAAAGAGCGTGGACATTTGTGGAGACTGTCCTGCCATTGTAGGTGCCGAGCATGAGGCAGTCTCCATGGTGTGTGGTCCGGGTAGACGTGTCGGTTTTTGTCCAACTCAAAAGGAGCCCTAACCCTAACGACCCTGACATAGTCGTTGCCACTACTCTGCGTCATAGGCGGGATCCGATGTTTCGTTCCATTCTTCTACACTGCGGAGTAATGAAAATTTTCCCCTGAAAGAGCAGACTTGAATAGGGCTACTCTTAATTTCCACGGAGCAATCACCGACCCGGGTGTGGAGCCAGGAGAACCGCCTAGCGGAATCCAGACGGCAGGGGATCTGGCCTGGCCGGCTCTTAGCCTGGCCTACGGCCGAAACAGAAAAAAACGTCGAACTCCTTCACAGCTTGAGAGGCCCTACCAGAGTATATATTCTGTGCATCGCAGTTCGACACCCAGTGTCACCCCCACGCCACGTGGAGGCGGGCGGAGGGCGTGCAGGAGTTCCTAGCACCTTTCCTCGCACCAACTTCGCACCAGCATTCGCACCCAGAAGGGTTCTAGCACCTCCGTGCCTCAGAGGTCAGGCCCCGCCTATTGCTCCACCCATTTACTGGACTCATTGTGAAGTGTGTAAGCAGCGAGAACATAGATCCAGGTATTGAGATAATGAGAGAGAAATGGAGAAAAAACGAAGAACATAGTTATCATTCATCAAGTGAGGCGGCTTGGAGACTTCTGCTACGCCATCCTTTAAAAAAGAGTATTTAAACATCATTTTCAGAGAAGAAAATTGCACATAATTTTTGAGTAGAAAACCCGGTCATTCGAAAC